AAGGCTGGTTGAGAAACAGCTGCATCCTCATATCCGCTGTTAAGGGCCAGAAGATGCCTGGAGGTACTCATCCCCTGGAGGGAATGAGAAGACCGTCTCCATGGAAGGAAGTGAGGCACAGTTTAGGTTCTGGATGCCTCATGAACACATCCCCAAGTTTCTCATTCCCTTTCTATCCACTCACCTCCAGTGCAGTGGAGGTTCCAGATGCTGCACGAAAATAGATAAGTCACATCCTGAATCTCACCTTCCCTTTCTCTCCACTTGGCTTCCGTACACTGACAGAAAGGGCCCTTCTTTCCACCAAGGTGCAAGAAGGATCTCTGGGGATCTCTTTCTGCTCTTACCCGGTCTCTTGGGAGCTTGTCCTGTATAGGATGTGACAGACAGTCCTGCCCTTCATCCGGCTTCCCACTACCTTCTTTCTGGTGTTTTTCACTCTTTGATACAGGCCGTTAGGAATATTTGAAGAAAGTCCATAACATGAAAGAGCCCAAAACAAACAAAAATGATTACTTAGACAGAGAAAACTTCAAAAACCTCATTATTCATACATTCATATTTGGTAAGGAAAGAAATATTAAGCATATAACAAGAACATTCAACTTCTAAGAAAAGAAATAGAAAACAGAAAGCTTTTGAAAGTCAAGACACTGTAGCAAAAATAAAAGATTTTAGGACTTTGAGGCACAATTGAAGATATTTTTGAGAGAGGAGAGCAAAAGGCTAAAGCATAGGAAATAGGAGAGAAAAAAGAGAAAGAAAACCAGAGGACCCATCTTGGAAACTCATTAGATAACAAGGAAGAGAGTAGACAATGGGAGCCAAGCAACAAAGTCATTCAAAACAGTTTTCAGATCTCCTGGACGTAGATTTACAAATGAAAAGGACCCACTGGCTTTCAACACAGTCAAACAGCAGAGCCCCCTGCTTGTGAAATTTTACAACACTGAGGGGAAAATTACAAGGAGAGCGACAGGGGGAAAATGAGTGGAAATGGAAGAACTTAGATTTCAATATGGAATTTCAAGCAGCAGCAGTTAAGAGCCAGTGAGAATGACCTGGGGGGTCCCGAGGGAACATTACAAACCGTTGCCAGAGTGCCTTAGTCAAACTTCAAACTAAGTGCAGGGTAGAGAAGTCACTCTCAGATACTTCTTCTCAGACATCGAGGTGATTAAAAATGTGTCAGGAAGCGACTAGAAGTACCCCCCCCCCCAAAGTGAGAGATGGGGGAGGAGAAGAGAGAGAGTAAAGCTAGTGGGGAAAGAGGAAGAAAGGAAAGGAGGGCGAGGGAGAGAACCCAGAAACAGACAAGAAAAAAATGAGAGCTAGTATGCATTGGAGTAAGGTCATAGGCGATGGAGGCCATTCAGTCCAGATCTTGGCTAGTTGAACTCTCCTCACTTTTATTATGTACAGTACCTCTTAAGTTGGGAGGAGGTCTGGGAAATTGGCAGCTAGTTTTGGATTGAATTAAGTTATTAGTATAAAGGAAACTAAAGGTGGAAACATTCAAGATCTTTATTCAATCCTGAGGAAACATTATGTAGTAGGGGAAAATCAAGTGAATAAATGTAGTTCAGTTCTGGATGATATTTACATTGCTACAATTATATAAACTGGATATCAGTCTAACCAAAATTATGTATCTGAAGGATGGGGTGATGTGTGTAGGGCAGTCTGATAGAGAAAATGTCAGATCTTTAGCTGCCATTGGGAAAGTAGCCATAAGGATCATGTTACTTGATTCTGTGGTGTTAAAAAATAGTCTGGGAAGAGAGCTAAGGAGTAGGAAATTGATGACACATGGGACAGGTGGTTTTCATAGTGAACATTTTAGAGCCATTTAATTCTTTAAATTGTGTATACTTAAGTTAGATAGGAATAAAAAATAAACAGAAGCACCTGCTGCTGTCTTTTGTTTATACTTTTTTATGCCTGGGCCCATGTGTGCACACACATACACATATATTCCCTCATCTCTCTTTCTGTCTCTCTTCCTTGAGTGTCTGGTTTGGGTCAGATATACTGGGCTCTGGGCACACTGAAGATAAAACTGACCATGCTCAGTTATGTAAACTTGCAAATTGCTTCTGACTACACACGGTACAGAAACTAAGGATCCATACCTCACATGCATGTTAGGCACATACACTGTAGTTTAATTTTCAGCAAGTGAGAGATCTCATTCAGACCTCCTGACATAGTAATACTAATGTCTACTAAAGTCATTTCTAGTGGCTCATCTGCTGTCATGTTCTAGTCTCACACCCTCCCTACAGTGCAGAGATTGTAATTGAGGGTCAGTCTTAGAGCTATTTGGTGGAAGACCCAAGACTTAAGCCTGACTTTCTTTGGTTCCAGTCCACATCTCAGACTGTGATTAATGAAGACATTTCCCCAGTTAATCTGGTGTCTGCCACAAACAAGATTTAAGTGTACATTTTTTAGTGGAGAGCTAATATAAAGATTTTCTTCTGAGAGTCTTGGTATTGAAAAGGTTCTTTTCCTCGAAAAAATATTGAAGGGTATTATTTCTAGCTTCCTCTGAGGTAAATTTACCAAAAATAAGTGCTTGAGTTTACTAGCAGATTCCATACCTAGGTAAAGTAGAACTCATTAACCATTCCGGATTCATCCCTTTAAGCTTCAGAAATGAATGAGACACCAGTGAGTATATGTGCATGTTGGACTGTGGGTGTATGCAGAATATTAAATCACTCAGCTTTGAATCAAGCTCTGACTCTGTTACTCATTCTGAGGCTTGAATAATGGGGCCTTGTGCTTTTGCCTGGCTTTTTCACTCATGGCTCATGTTCTACCACTTGAGCCATACCTCCAATCCAGAATTTTTGTTGCCTAATTGAAGATAGAGTCTCTCAGACTTTTCTGCTCAGATAAACTTAAACTTCAATACTCACATCTCAGTCTCCTGAATCACTAATTATAGGTGTGAGCCACTGGCACACAGGGACCTCCCCATCTTTTGTCTAATTGATGTTTTGGATCATGCTAACTTAATTTTTAGAAATTTAGCTATATCCTTCAAATGAAAGTTTACATTATGAACCTAGGGTAATGTATCTGGACCAGACTGCTCCTAATGAGTTCAGAGGAATGTTGGTCCCTGAAGTGTCCATTTAATCAAGAGGAGCTGGCCACATTTGGACTCGAGTTCATTCCTTTGAAGGAAATTCATGTATTGTGACTTTTAGGCTTCATTTATCTTTGAGGTTTTGTGATTTTACCAAATGAACATTGATTAGTTTCATGTCACTTAATAATTGGTATTTTTGAGCTTGTGATTATCATAACAATGACCACTTTTAACTCTGAAATTACAATTTTGAGGTTTAGTCTTACAGATCTGATGGGAGAGAGAATTGGGGAGATGTTGATCAAGGATTATTAAGTTAGGAATGAGTTCAAGAGATCTAGGCAATAGCATAGTGACTTGTTTAAAAGAATATCACGTTCTTTAATAATAGTAGCTGCTTCTGCTGCTGCTTCCCCCCTCCTGTCCTCCCTCCCTCCCTCCCTTTCTCTCTTTCTCTGTTTCTCTCCTTCCTTCCTTCCTTCCTTCCTTCCTCCTTCCCTCCCTCCCTTCCTCCCTCCCTCCCCCCCTTTCATCTTTCCATTGTGGGGCTTGAACTCATGGCCTGGGCACTGTCCCAGAGCCTCTTTGTGCTCAAGAGTAGCACTCTACCACTTGAGTCACAGCACCACTTCCAGTTATTGAGTGGTTAATTGGAGATAAGAGTCTCACGGAGACTTTTCTGTCTGGGCTGGGTTTGAACTGTGATCCGAAAATCTCAGCTTCCTGAGTACCTGGGATTACAGGCATGAGCCACTGGCATTCAGCTTGAATAGCTTTTAAGTATTCTTATCACAAAAGTGCAGCTATATAAAGTAATAAATATGTCAACCACCTTTTGTTAACCTTTCCACAATGTATTTTTCAAGAAATCATTCTGTATATGATAAATGCATATAATTATGCCCATTTATGAAATAAAAATAAATTTAAAATGATGATGGCCCAGTATTTCATTTGAAATGTAATTTGTGCTATATGCTCCAGCATAATAAACATTTTCAAATAAATGATCTTAGGAATTGTATATATTTACGTATATTTGTGTATATCTATAAGCCTATCTATGGAAATACATACACACTATATGGATAATTCTGAAGTATTTCACTGTATTATAATTTGTTAAAGAGCCATTCAGTTAGTTTCTAATCTTTTGGTTGCAGCGAACATCATTACATATAAAATTGCCATATGGTTGATTGATTATGTCTTTGTCATAAAATTCTAGAAGTATGATTCTGGTTTGAAAAAATTATAATTATTAAATTTTTTCTTTTGTGATTCTGTAGTATTGAACTCAACATCTAATACATGCTAGGCAAGTGATCTATTTCTAAACTACACTGCCAAATCCATTCCTAAATTTAATAGATATTATTGTTTGAAATACTAGATCAGTTTATATTAGACATCTGTCTAAGGGTGTTAGATTCTATTGGCCATGTTAGCAAATGTTGTGTTGTTGAATTAAAATCTTAGCTACTGTCCTTTTCCTAAATGGGTAGAACATGATTTGTTATCTCAAAAATTCTATTCTTATTATTTAACTATGTACTTAATTGTACATAGTAAAGTAATTTAGGAATAGTACACGTAAAGTAATTTAGGAAGAAGTGATTTTTATGATCCTGAGTTATCATGCACTCATAGTTATTACACAGGAAATAAATGACAGAAACTTGAAGCTTTACTTTCATTTATAAGATGTAATATGCAAATATTTTGTCTGTAGTTTAATTTATTTTGGGTAAAACATTTGTTTCTGTGAAATTTTGTACTAATTGATTCTGCCCCAGAAACAAAATTATGGTAGCATTTGTGGAAAAGTTACATGAAGATATTATGGAGTAAGCTGTGGAAGAATGCTAGTAACTTAGTTGTTTTATTCTTTTGCCTAAAGGAGGAAGACAATGGTCCTGGGGTGTGTCCTTGGATGGGAAATGGAAACTTGTGAACTGAAGCTTCACTTTATCCCCACAGCCTGCAGTGTTTGTCTTTGTCTAATGACCTTTGGTGGACATCCATGAGACTTGCCTGTACAAAGCTGTAATGAAGTATGAGAAGTGGCTGTATATTCAAGAGAGGCCCCACATTGTATGCCCATATACATTGCACACATACTGTATGTGGCTTATGTGTAGAAAAATGAAGCTAGTTTTCAGAGTTTATATTAACATGAATATATATCATGTATTTAATATTGAGATAGACAAAAATGCATTTCTGGCATTAGTAATCTCCATTTCTTTTGTCTAACAGAAAATTTGTTCATGTTGAGACTAGTGTAATTCTTGATAGTAAAATAAAAACTTTGATTAAGAATAGCCTAGAGCTTTACAGTGCACTGAGAAGGATTATTAAAACCCACCTTATGGTATTTTTCAGTACCCATACCAAAATTATTGTCAAGCTGATTTGTCATGGAAGATAATTTAAGTTGATGAAGTGATATAAAACCCACTTTATTTCTTAAAGGATTTAATTGAATATATGAATTTAATATGAAATATCTGAAGCTGTGGTTTCTAAAAATTTGAGAATGGCATAAGAGATAAAATGATGTAAAGAAGATGGGTACAGCACACCAGGAATAGCTTTATTTTCCACAAATAAAAATATGGATTTAGAAGTGTCCTGTTTTAATTTAAATCTACACTTTATAAAACTTCAATGTATTTTATTATATAGATTGCACTTCTTTGAAAGCTGGCCAACAATACCCTTATTTTAATTAATTGTAAGTGCTACTGCAAATTTGAGCATATACTTATTGTCAGATGTGACAGAATGAGAATTTATGTAAAGCAATGAAGTCCTTGGCTCAAAGGAAGAGCACAATAAATATTTTTTGTTGTTATAATTGTTGTAAAATGAATTACTTGACTACAGTTTCAATTTGGATGGATGTGTAATGCAGAGCGGTAGGAATGCTAAAATATCTTTTAGGAGTAGGTGGAGTAGCTATGCATTCACAGGTTTTTAGATGTATTGTTTTAGCAGTAGCATAAGGAAATGACACAATAGTAACCATCTCAAATATCACTGAAAACAGAAGCCAAAAGCCTTATCATGGAGATGTAGGCAGGAAAGAGAAAGGACTGAAGCAGCACCAGTGAGGAAAGTGGAGCTTGTGGAGCAGGGCCAGGGGGGGGGTGGGGGGGGGGGGGAGGGGGGGTAGGGCAGGTGGCTAGAATATATTGGCAGCTCTGGAGCACAGTTGGGCCGCAACAGGCAGAACTGCTGAAAGACAGGAGGACCTGGGTACTTCCTTTAGTGTATAGTATGCACCAAGGAGGAAATGGGAAGGCATGTGTAAAAAAAGCATGATTAACACTGGTATCTTCCAGACTACTACAGGTATCATTCATGGGCAAACATGGGTTGCAGAAGTACCTTCCTTTGTAGTTAACACCAAAAGATTAGTCTGAAGCCCTTCATGCATACCCTGTCGCCAGTGCTCCTGGCACTACACTTGGACCCAGGACTTTAAAACACTGCCCAGTTGCTTGCCTCACCAGTTGTATGGGACTGGATTCTTGGACTGCCCATGTTTCCTGCCACCTCTCCTGAAGCATACAAATTGACAAGTCTAACCACAAAAGGGGGGGGGGATAGGAAGGAATGGGAAGGGGAAACAAAGGAGGCAACAATGCTTGAAATGTACTCATAGCCCATGTAATTGTAACCCCTCTATAGGGTATTTTCACAATTTTTTTAAAAAGGAAGATCTCCTAAAAAAGAAAAACAAACCATTAGCAATGATCTCAAGTACTAAGTTAGTTTTCTATGTTTTTATCCTCTAGATTTTTATTTATTTTACTGGAGCACTTTATTTTCTGAAACGAACTTCTTGATTGAGATCAGTGCCTATTGGTGAGGTTCTTTGGAGGCTTAATATTCTTTAATATGGAAACCTTTTCATGGCACTTAACCTAACTCCAACTCAGAATAAAAATACTACTGTTAGTCTGTGTTTGTAGCAATGGATTTGAAAGTATGATTTGCCCATCATCAAAAGTAAAAAAAAAAGCAAACCAACCCTAAATCTCCAATCTATACTATTTTGGTGGTGGAATATGAAACAAAAGTAAACCTATATCATGAAAGACTCTGAAATTGAACAAAGAGTCTAGACCAAAAGGGAGGAGATACTTAAATAGAGATACAGGCCAATTAAAAAATCTGGAAAATTAGGGTGGCCTTTTCTCTTTTATTTTTTATTGTAAAGGTGATGTACCAAGGGGTTATAGTTACATAAGTCAGGTAATGAGTACATTTCTTTTTCTCCCAGTTTTTGTTTCTGCCCAGCACCGCCTGCCCCAAGTTGTATAGTTCATTTCCAACATAGTATCTGGTGAGTAACACTACTGAATTAGTTCACTCTTTGTCCTACCATTTCTGTGCTTCTACTTCTCCTCCCCAAGTCAGATAAACTTATATACAAGACAAAGGCTACAGAAATAAAAAACAGTGACAAAAGTGAAAAACAGAGGAAAAAAATGGTAAATAGTACAATAAAAATCCTTTTACTTCCATTTCTTGATGTTCATTTCAATAAACATCATTTTATATGATCATATATGCATAACTATTGAGCCCTTGTGATCCTCTCCTAAGAATATCCTCCTTTGATCTCACTGTATGAATGTTTAGAATCCTGTTTAATCATATGTAGGTGTAATTATTTGTCTTTTACTATCCTATCCATGTAGTTTACTTGTAGATTTATAGGCACATTCTAATGACTACAACTGATGGAAACCATGCAAACTATATTTCCACAGGCCTGGCTTGCTTCACTTAGTATAATTTTTTCAAGTCTTTCCATTTTCTTTATGAATGAATTGGACAATGTCATTCTTTCTGATGGAAACATAGAATTCCATTGTGTATATATACCACATTTTGTTGATCCAGTTGTACACTGAGGGGCATCTGGGTTTATGCAATATCTTAGCTATGGTAAACAAGGCTGCAATTGAACATGGTTGGGCTAGTGGCGTTAGTGTGGCCTATTTTGTGTTCTTTTGGATAAATGGGTGGCTTTCTTTTCTCTTCCACTCTTTTTTTTTGTTTGTTCCTCTCCTCCCCTCACCCTCCTCCTCCTTCTCCTTGTTCTCCTTATTCCTCCTTCTTTTTCTTACAAAATACAAGATCAACAAACTGAGGTCAATGCCTTTCTACATAGCTTTAATGAACTTAAGTGCATCTGATCCATGGTAATTAATGTAACCATTGGTGTGAAAAACAATATTCTCCTTAGAAGGTTTATTAGTTAAGTATCTTCTTTTTGGTTGCTCAGTCTAGCTTAAGGCTTGCCAATTTTCTTGATCTTGCCAAAGAACCAAAATTTGATTTTATTGTTTTCCTCTATTTTGTGTCTATTGTTTTCTACTATTCTGCTCTATTTTTTTAAACTTTAGATGATGATTGCTTTTCATTTTATTTGTGCTTTTCTTGTTTCTTGAGAGTTGTATTATTGACTTGAGATTTTCTGTTTTAAACCAAGGAATTTATAGTTATAAATTTTTCTTAAATATTGATTTAGTTGTAGCCTATGAATTTTAGAATGTTACTTTTGTATTTTTATCTCAGAGTATTTTCTAACCTTCTGATTGCTTTTTAACCCAATGTTTATTTGGGATTAGGTTAATTTCCCAAGTTTTTATATGATTCATAATCTCCATCCATTTTGTAAGCAGAGAGGTCTAGATCCTTTTAAATTCATAGTTTAGTTTTAAATTCATAGTTTCTAGTTGTCTAATGAATGGCTTGTCTTGGTGAATGTTCCATGTATACTTAATAAAAGTGTGCATTCTGCCTCTGGATGGTGTGTTCTATAGATCTAGATAGTTTATAGTCTCAATACAGTATTCTATATCCTTGTCAAACTATTGACTTTGTTTTTATTATTGAAGCAGGAATTGAATAGACAGATAAATTAATTTGTCTATCTCTACAATCTGTATTCCCTTTGCATTATTAAATTGTTGTTTTATGATATTACATTGTAAATTCCTCCTACCTCTAGTTACATGTTTTACTTTTTGAAATATTAGTATAGCTACTTTAGTTTTCTTACAGTTATTGTTTGCATAAAATACTTTTGTATCCATTTGTGGTCATTTTATGTTTTTAGATCTGAAGTGTGTCATACAGAGAGCTTATGTTTGTTTTTTGAGGGGAGGGTAAATTCAGCCATACAATCTCTTTACTTTTTGATTGAGTTATTTAAGTTAAGCACATCAATGTTATTGTTGAGTTTGAATTTATTTTCTTAGAATTATTCTAGTGTTTACAATATATGTGTTAACTTATCTGAATCTATTTAATTACAATGAGTTCCTTGTTTATTACTAAATGACTATGTATCATTGTAAATATTATCTCTCTCCTCCATACACACATATATGTGTGTATATATATATCTGTGTACATATACACATATGTATATATGTACATACGTATTCATATGTATACATATATGCATATATATGTCTTTCAGCCCAACAATACATTTTTAGAATCATTATATAATGTATATGTGTTAAGGAAGCTGGGAAAATGTATGTGTAGGTCAACAGTTTCTTATATAACCCTCCCTTTTTTTGTGCCAGTACTGCAGCTTAAACTCAGGGCCAGAGTGATGTCCCTGAGATTTTACTTAGGCTGGTACTTTGCTGCTTGAGATATACCTCTACATGTAGATTTTTGATGGTTAATTGAAAATAAGAGTGTCACGGATTTTCCTGCCTAGACTGACTTTGCATTATGATCCTCAGATCACAGCCTCCTGAATAGCTAGGATTACTAGTTGGGCCACTGGCGCCTATTCTAATTAGACTTTTTATTTACCATTTCTGGTTGCTTTCATTTGGTCCTGTGGATTCAAGTTTCCATCTGGTATTATGTTCTTGCTCTAGTACAGGTTCGTTTTCACTTACTTCCTTTGTGCTGTTACTGGGAGGTTTATTATGTTTCTGTATGTTTTTGGTGTAACAGTACAGTAATGTATATTTTATATACTTGCTTTTGTCAATAAGAGAAGAAATACATACTTATGTTCTTTTATAATTTTGTGCTTAAATATATTGGGGCAGATTAAAATTAATGTCTGGGATAACTGGGCTATTTGTTGTGAGGCAAGTCTGATTACAAATCCTCTTTGGTTTTATTTGGAATGTCTTTATTTGACCTTTATTTGCAAAACATAGCTTTAAGGGATATGATTCTTCATACCAGTTTGTTTATGAAATACCATCCCGCAGCCCTCTGGCTCTTATTGTTTCTGATGATATGTCAGCTATAAGGCTAAGTGGAGTTTCTTTCTACATAATAAGTTGTTTTTCTTTAGCTTCTGTAAGAATTTTTTCTTCTTCTCATCCCTAGTAGTTTTATTGGGTTGTGTTTGGGTATTAATCTATTATACTAATTGGAATTCTTTGTGCTCCTTGAATATGTAGAAAATGTTTTATTTGGGAAGTGTAGGCATTATTTCTTTGAATATTTTTCCCTTTACTATGTCTCCCTCTTTTTCCTAGTTCTAATAGTCATATACTATTTCACTTAATGGAGACCCATAGTTCTCTTGAACTCCTGTGTTCATTTTTGCCCAGTTCTTCAAATCTGAGGCTTATGGGTCTTTTTTTGTTTTTGTTTGCTTGTTTATCTGGCTGTACTATTTTATTCAATGTTATTGCTTCTGCGATGTAAGACCTGTGACTTGACAGGCAGCAAGGAGACATTCAATCCAATATGTGTTGTTTCTGGAAACTTTACAGTATGCATACCTCTGTGGTCAGCTTCTCAGCACTTCATGGCCCTAAATCTTTTTCTCTTCCTAGATCATTCATTTCATAT